AACCTGAACTCCAAGAACTTGGTCCCGCTCCCATTGACTTTTGTAGCACATGCAGGCTGAAATATCCTCGAAGTTAGGAACTGTTGAGTTCCAGATTCAAACATTTCACCCTGTTCTATATAATGGATCAAGCCAGAGTCTCAGATTTGAGCATACTTGAACTTTAATCAACTTAGGTTGTAGACAGTGCTGCTCAGGCCATCTCATAAGTCTTCTTAGGAGATGGGCACTTCAAAAATAGGAAAACTAATGGGTTTTGTATTTTTCCAGTGGGTAAGTGCTGCTGAATCTACACATGTATGTGTGTGTATGTACATGTTTGTGTGTTATTGTCCTAGAACATATATCTACTGACAGTAATTTGAAACTGAAATGGATTTACAGCTTTACTTTTCCTGCAGTACTGCTGACACCAATACACCACTGAGTACAGAATTTCTTAGCTGTCGCCACTAGAAAAGTAAAAATGAGTACTATTTGTTGAAGTCTAGTATAAGCATTAATTGTCTCTGGGGGTTCATTTTCTTAGAGAGGAAAAAAGGTAGATTGGAAAAGAAAAAGAATTTTAAAGCCCAAGATCCCTCTAGCTTCATAACAATTGTAAAGTAAATCAAAATGTTGGGCTTATACATTTGGAAAATGTCCTTTGAACAAATCCAAGTCAACATACCAGATACCTAATTATTTGTAGCAGTCCTCATGATACCAACAAGGAAGTTTCTCCGTCGCTCCAATAGAGAGATGCTATCCCAATGATTGTTCTGATTAATGAAAGTCTGTTCTGGGCTCAGAGATGGGGCTGAACCACAAAAATCATATCCAGACTTGAATATATCCAAAGTTTAGATCACATGGAGAGATCTTTAGATCCAGGGTTTAGGGTTAGCTAGTTATAGACATTTGGGCCAGCTACCAACTTCAGATCTATGTCCAAAAGGACACTGGGATCTGAGGTATTGTTTTCAGTCTCTCTCTATATTGCACATTGCAACTTCCTCTCTCTGAATTCTCTGTTCCACACTCTTGGCTCATTTCCCACCTTCTTTCTTAAACCCGTTTTAACCCTCATATCCATTATCTATTTAGATTTAATGAGTTGTTGGCGAGTGTGGCTCATTGCTGAGATAGAAACTGAGCCTGATGCAAGGGAAACAGATGGGGAAGGTGAAGGGCAGCCATTTGTTTTTAGCCAGTCAAAATGTTTATAAACGACTGGAAGGGCAAGACTTAGAGACAAGGAGGCAGTAGGAAGGGGAGACAAAATAATTTTTCTCAAAAAAGGAAATTGTCTCATCAATATAACTGGATTACAGCTGCTCTGAGGCAAAAGGGAAGTCAAAGATAGAGCTGTACAGGTCACTGCTTTGTAAAATGAAGCTCCCTATCATTTCCCCCCATGACTGCCACATGTTGGCTTCCACGTAGTATTCTCCTCCCCCTTAGAAAAGGAGAATGTAACTGTGAGCATGAGCAAACAGTGCCCTTTGGCATATCTACACCTTGTCTACTGCATCTCTTTGAGCACTGCACAGCATACCTAACTGACCCACTCCCACTCCTCCCACGCCAAGCCCAGAAATAAGCACTGAAGCCATCCTGAGGCAAACACAGCATTGGCAGAGGTCTCAAGAGGAGCAGAGGAGGGTGCCCTCAGGACAGTTTCCCCACCTCATTCCTGGGTTTAACACATGAAAAGTGAGAGCAGGAGATAAGAGGGTCTTTCTCAGCAAAGCTCTGGGGAGTACTACAGCAACATTATAGACATGGCCTCTGAGCAGCTCTCCCTAACAAAGGGGAAAGTGGGAGATCCAGATTGTAATCTAGAACTAGCAACTACATGCAATACTTTGTATTGTGCTCATGACCTATTCAAACTAGGCGGACTACCCTTCAGAGACCTGCCTGGTGCTAATCCAGAGCAACAGAAAAAAATTATCAGCTAATACAAGAAACTAATAAAGTCTCCACCTGTGTGTCCAGTCACTTGCAAAGAAAGCATGGCAGTGTCTTTGCAGAAGGAACTGAAATGTAAAAATGTACACAAAACCTAGAAACAATAAATAAGCAAAATGTCCGAGAACATCTCATTATGGAATTAGAGTTCCCATTTATTCCCGCATGAGGAACAGTTTTTAATTTGGGTTCAGACTTGAGGCCACATGATTTATTTTGGTAGAGCTCAACTCTGAACAAGACCAGGTGGGAAAATGCAAAGATGGCTGCCTTTGTGGCTTACTGTTCAGGGGCATGTTTGGCCTCTGCTGCAATTTAGAGCAGTTTCACAGCTGCTATAAATGACACTCAGCTATCTGTGGGCCCCAGCTGCACATCCTTTACCTAAGGAACTAATGTCCCTAATGTGCTATCCTGGGGACCAAGTTAAGAAATATAGCACTTTTATACTATCCCCACACCACATAGAAATTCCCTTCCATTCAAAAAGACTGTCCAAGTAGTTGGGTCTGTGAGGTTTTAACTGGAATCCTCTCTACCATTTTGGTGAAACAAAGCAGGTGGAGCAGGCTCCAGCAACTGACTCACCGACTCTATAACGGTAACACATCTGCGAAGTGGGAATAATAGCATCTGTCTATAGCCCCTGCTCTAGAGAATGGTTAGAAAGTTTCATGCTGGTACTAAGTGATACATAAATTCCAAACTACAAATATTTTCTCAAATTCCTACACAAAATAATTAGAAGAGCCAATCCCTTTCTAAGAAGCTGTGCTCTGTTAGGAAAGCAGCTGACCTTATTATAGCAACTGATGGTAAACGACATTTAGTCTCAGCTGTCTGCTGCCAAATGCCTCTTTTTTTTTAATTCTTCCACATTTAACCTACCCTGATTTTCCTGGACATGGTATGATTTGTACCACATAGAAGTTATCCCAGTTTATGACACACACTTTCCTGAAGAACACTTGGCTTTCCTTACAGGAATTCCTGTATACAGAGGAGTCCTGGAAATGTGACAGGGTTCCTACAGAAAGGTGGCTCCATGTTCATGGAAGAGAAGTGCTTAGTTGCACACTTGGAAGATTGTTTGAATGTGGGTGCCGGGGGAGAAAGGACAAAAAAAAAAATATTAAAGCTTCTTTGTTATAGTTGGCAGGCAGGATGGCTTTAAAGGGATTAGGAATGTGCAGCTCCTATGCTGGAGAGGGATGTTGAGCAGTACAAGTGATTAACAATAAAGCTGTGCTGCTCTGAAGGGGTGGGGGGGGAAGCATTAATTTGAGTGAAGAGTGACTGAGATATGAAGAGAGGCACACCCATTGCCTGCAAGGCTGAATTCCATCAATGACAATGCGAGCCAGGAGGAGATTCAGCATGTGCCAGGAAAGCAGCTTGCATTTAATGTAGGGATTCTGATTCTTCCCTAGATTCTCTAGGGCAAATGTAGGATTGGGCCACATTTCACCACGATTGTTCAGTTCCCACATGACAGAGATAATGTGAGATTCATTCTCCTCAAGGTATTTCAGCCATTTAAATGATTCCTGCAGAAAACCCAAAGAAAATTAAAGGCCAGCACCAGTTCTGAGATATTTGGGTTCACAGAATGATAGGAAAGGAGGGCTTGTCCAACCTGCTCCACTATTTCTCTAGATAACCTGTTCCAATGCTTGACTACCCTCACAGTCAGAAAATTCCTCCTAGCCTCCAACCTAAATTTCCTCTGCTGTGGCTTGAGGGAACTGTTCCTTCCTGTCCCCTACAGGGACAGAGAAAAGCCCATCTCCATCTTCTCTATAAATCGCCCTTCAGATATTTGAAGACTGTCATCACATTCCCTTCAGTCTTCTCCTTTCCAGGCTAAATAACTCTAGATCTTTCAGCCTTTCCTTGTAAGCCTTGCTCCTAGGCTCCTAATAAATTTTTATTGCTCAGAGCTGGAATCCTTCCAACTTGTCCACATCCTTCTTTAAGTGCAGGGCTCAAAACTGTACATAGTACTTCAGATGAAGCTTCACCAGTGCTGAATAGAAGCAGCACAGTCACTTCCATGGATTTGTAAGTGACATTCCTATTAATACACCCCAGAATGCTGTTGGCTTTTATTGTAACAAGATAAACTGCTGGTGCATATTCAGTGCATGGTCTACTGCAACCACCAGTCCTTTTCTAGATTGCAACCTAGCCAGTCATTCCTCAGTTTGTATTTGTACATGCAATTATTCCATCCCAAGGGCAAGACTTTGCATTTGTCCTTGTTGGATCTCACCTGATTAATTGTGGATGATTTTTCAGCCACTTTGGTTCATTCTGGATCCTAGCCCTCCTCTCTAGGGTGTCTGCCACTCCACTGAACTTGAGGTGATCCGCAAATTTGCTGCATGTGCACTCAGTCCTATCATCCAAATCATTTATGAAAATGTTGAACTTCTTCAACATTAATTAGATTAAGTTGTATGTAGAGCTTGAATCCATAGCCCTTTTAGGAACACATAGGCTCTTTTAACAGATTAAAGCTTCATTGGGGTCAATATGTCTTTTGAGAACATGGAAAAGAGACAGATATTATCCCATGGGGTTAGAGAGAATGAAAATTTGTTTTCATTGGTACCTATTGTGAGCAACAACCCCCCGCCCTCTGAAACACAGTCAATCAAGTCACTAAATTACTATTTCAAGCAAACTTATTTCTTATCTTAAAAGAGAGAGTTTAACCTAAAACCAACCCCAATTACACAACAGTTATAACCAACACCATGTTTTAATACATGCCCTTAAGCCAACCTACAACATGGTTAAAATTTGTACTGTAGATGGAACCAAAGTTAAAAACTCAGTTTGCCTGTGGTTTTATCCAGTTACCGGGATGTATTAGCTCTGTCTACCCTACAATTGATAAACATGTGGTAACTAGTAAACAGAAGACTGTCTTGTACTGGAGTCCCATTAGTTTGTATAGATGAGATCTTCAGTAGAGGGGATGCAATAAGGATTTTAGTGGAGGAGGACCACACATACACACACACAAGCAAATTAGAACTAACCTGGATGATCTCCTATAGAACTTGATGTCCTTTCTTCTTTCCCTCTGTTTGCAACCATACGTTAATTTTCTGGCCCTCACAGTACTTGTGCAGGAAAGACCCACCTTCACATAAGTTAGTACAGCTTTTGTGCCAGTGGAAGTGTTCTGTTGGAGAAATAAATTACAAAAAAAAAATTATTTTGTTTACTGTTGCTATAGAAAGTCCAGACATATATTCACTGATTCACTTGCTTTTCAGAGAAGTTACAGTGTATAGACAGATTTAATAACTGTATCGATGTCAAACCATAACAAGAAGTGGATACAATGCAACTGTTACATATACATACTTCTGTAGGAACCTGAGTGTAGCAAAACCATTGCAACTACAACCTTGTTTCTTTCTGAGTTACAGCCATTTAGTCCCTTTGTATCAAGCACATTTAATGGTGACATTGTAACAACTGGCATAGGTCCCAAGGATCAGCTCCTCCTCCCATTTTACAGTGCTGGGAGGCTGTAAGTGGGTCTGGCAAGTCTCTGTGCACCCCAATTGAGCCCATTCCACCCCTGCTGGGCCCCACAGCTGCTTAGCAGCTCCTCACATACCTCCCCCTTCCCCTGTGCAGAGCTGTTAAACAGGTGCTGGGGAAGGGGGATGGACTGGAGGGCGAGTGGACAGATGAGGGTCGTGGCAAGAGTGCACTGGCTGCATCTGGGTGCATAGGAGTGGTGTGGGTTGCACGCAGACTGGGAGCAGGCAGGAAGGGGGAACTCCACTGATGCTTTCAGGTTAATCAGGGCAACAGGAAGCACAATGAAAGTAGCCAAAAGGAGTGCAGGGAGGAAGCAGGGCAGCAGGGGGGCAATCCATGGGGTGATCACTGTGGGCGAGTGATCAGAGGGAGGTGATCTGAGAAACAGGGGTGCAATCAACTTGCCAGATGATCAGTGTGGTAGAAGTGATAGGGGAGTGTGGGGTGATCCAGGTAGCAAGGTTGCTACTAGGGGGGTAACTCAAATGGCCAGGGGAGGCTGGGGGACCCCTGCCACCCTCCCCCTCTGACCTATACTGCAGCTAGAGAGCAAAGAGGCAGGCAGGCATGGAGCAGACTTAGCAGCTCCTAGCCATGCCCTTACTCACCAGCCCTCCAGCAGCAGGTCAGAGCTGTGTAGGTTAGATGGGGTATTAACCCTTAACAAGTGACTGCTCATAGCATGTGCTAACTTTAGCACAGCCTAACATTCCTTAGAGTCAGTACGTGCTAATTGTAACATGTAACTACACCCTTAAATGCATGCTTAACTTTAAAAGGGTTAGGAATGCCATTACTAATATGGAACCTCCCAGTGAACTTAGTGCAGGTTCTAGTTTGTGTGCAATCCATTTATCCACCAGTATTTGTATAATTAAACTTTCACAAAAACTAACTTTATCTGCTTGGAGGGTATATTGGATGTACAACGATATTTGTCCTTTGGGAGTGGAATAATTAGCTCTTTCTTTCTTTGGACTTGTAGGTATCAACTACTTCAGACAGAGGAGTACTTGTTTCCAGGATCTAAGTGAAGACTGAAAAAGTACTGTTGCAATTTTTTTCTTAGTATTTTAAAAAGACAAAGATTTGGTCCCAAAACAGTTTTCAAATGCTGCTATGCTATTGTCATTCTAGGAAATGCCATGAAAGTGACCTCGTCCTTGTTCTGTGTCCTTCACATTTCACAAATCTGTTTTAAAAGAAACATCATTAAAGCTGAAGGAGTGGTTTTCCCATATGAATGCATTCACAACATTCATAGTCATGTTAACTTCTTGGAAACCACAGACACATGGGGTAATGAAATGAGAAGCTGGTCCTACATTTCCTGTGGTGGAACTCCATCAGTTTTAATGGAGGTATAACAATATGGTCAAAATTCAGAACCATTTTTCCAATTTGTACAAGGATGGTATGCTAAGGGAAAATGCCACATTTAAAAACCCTTGAAACCAAGTTCTTCTACTTAACCCCATAATAGATGCAACACATTCAACAGTACTTCAGCTCCCCTAAAAGACTCAAACTTCTCTAACTCCTCAATCTTGCTCTCTAGTGCCCTCTTCTAAAGCTAAGAAAGCAGATTTGTTTCTATGTCCCATTCTGCTTTCTTGGCCTTCTGTAGTTGCCAGTTGTGATAGCAGCTTTTATGACATTGGAAACTAAACTAAGATTCGCTTGACACTAAGATAGACTGAAGAAGCACCAGATAGAAAGGCTCATCTAACCCACCATTAGGCCTTTCCAGTTTGTGCTTCCTGAGCTCCTCAGGAACTATACATAAGCTTTCTCATCATTAAACTACATCCCTTTTCAGAGGTTTTGTGGTTTATTAGCAACAATACACTATTTAATATCAATTTAAATCAAAACTGGTCTTCAGTTCCTTCAGTTCTCTCCTGGGCTTGTTATTTCCTTTCTAAACTCAGGTCCTGCAGTCTGGACTTCCACCACATGCACACACAGCGCTCCTGAGTGCAACCAGGGCATTTACCCAGGTTCTCACTAGGCTAATTTAATGCAAGACAAGTAGCAATAAGCCACACCCAAAATCTTCAGGGGTGTACCATCAGACTTGCTGTTGAGGCAGGGGTGGGAAAAATGTGGCCCAGGGGCCAGATGCAGCCCGCCAAGCCATTCTATCTGGTCCGCTGGGCCCCTAAAAAATTTAGAAAATTAATATTGATCTGCCCTGAACTGCCTGTCATGTGGCCCTCAATGGCTTGCCGAAACTCAGTA